GGCGGACCGTAGTGTGCGGCCGCCGGACACCTTAAACCGGCGCCCGCAACTTCCCCTCTGCGCTCTGCCACCCCGAGGCCGGGCCTCGGTGGCCTTGTGGGAAATACGGGCCTGATCTCAACTCCACTGTGATTATGCTGAGGCCATAAGGTGAAGCTAATGCAGAGAGCCCTTAGTTACAACACTCTTTGTAACTGGTGTATTTTAAAGTGACGCTAAACTCAATTTAATTCTTAAAAATGCATTCCATTTTTGGGTGAGCCCGTGGACCGCAACCAGGTTGGCTTTGTCCCAGGCCGAGAGGCGCGAGACAACACCATAAGGACCCTGACTGTGATCCACCTAGCTCGTTCCATGTCTAGGCCTCTTCTCCTGCTGTCATTAGACGCGGAGAAAGCATTCGACAGGGTAAACTGTGTGTTTTTGAGGGAGACGCTAATACATGTGGGCATGGGAATCAATATGAGACACTGGATAGGCTCGTTATACTCGGATCCTACGGCAGTGGTCAGAGTGAATGGTGTCTTGTCGGAACCATTCGACATCTCAAAAGGCACTCGCCAGGGCTGCCCTCTGTCACCCCTTCTATTCCTTCTCACCCTGGAGCCACTCCTCAGAACGATACAGGCATCACCAGATATCAGAGGCCTTGAGTCCAAAGCTGGACACCATAAAGTTGCTGCCTATGCGGATGATCTCCTACTCTATGTATCGAGCCCAGAAACATCACTACCCAATATTTTGCAAGCTCTAGAGGCCTATGGACGTCTCTCTAATTTCAAACTGAACTATCTGAGGCACTTAACATCTCGATGCCCAACATCCGCCTACGCGGCCTCCGGATGGCCTTTCAGTTTAAATGGGCGACGTCTCACATCAAATATCTAGGGGTGTCTATCCAAGCAGACCTTAAGGACACCTTTGCTCTGAACTTCATCCCCATTCAGAAACACATCATCTCAGATCTAAAGTCCTGGGACCGCTCCACGTTTACGTGGATGGGTCGCAATAGCATTTTAAAAATGACAATTCTGCCAAGATTACTCATCTCATTCAGACGTTGCCCATTACAGTCCCTGCTACGTATCTAAGACAGATGCGATCTCACTTTTTAGCCTGTGGGCAAATAAAAGGGCTCGCTTGCGCCATCAGATCCTATCCAGACCTCGAACAGCGGGAGGGTTGAGCTTTCCAGATCCCGCTCTTTACTATGGAGCAACCCACCTATCGGTGATTGTAGACTGGTGCTGTAACGCAGGTCAGAAACTATGGCAGGCCTTGGAACAAGAAGATTGCCCATGGCCGCTGCATGGTACCCCCTGGATTTCTCCGGAATTGCCACTTTCCAACCCTTTGGTTCGTGCCACGATGCAAGTAGCGTACAAGGTACTCCACTCCCCTGGCCTATCTCCTCTACCATCACCCTTGACGCCAGTAGTGGGGAGCCCGCACTTCCCTCCGGGTCTGCATAACCCATTGGCCAGAGCCCTAGAGACCTCAGGGCTGACTAGACTATACCACTTCAGAGACGCAGACCGCTGGAAACAAGTTGCTCAGATCTGAACTCTCACTGAACCACCCTTGCGGATGTGGTGCGCCTTACAAGTAAGACACTATCTATGTTCCTTCTCGGAAAGGACATGCCCTCAGAGGCAGTTGACGGACTTTGAGACCATATGTCTGATGGCAGAACCAACTAGACATCCCTCAGACCTCACCCACCCGTACTTTGTAAGACAGTGGGCCACTGATCTACTAGATTTTAGTCCTCAACAGGTAGACCGTATGATCTGTGTCGAACAAATATCAGGAAGCGGGTTACAAGCTTCTGACCAGATGATACAGAGTGCCTATGACCCTCCATGTTATGTACCCCTCTGTATCCGAAGTTTGTTGGCGCTGTAGTGGAAGAGCCAGGCTCGATATTGCATGTCTTCTGGTCCTGCTCGAAAGTCAGACCTTTCTGGTCCCAGATCGCCACACTGATCTGTAAAATTACAGGCCTTAGACTTCCATTTACAGCCTCGGTGTATCTCCTCCACTTGGCTCCGCTCTCACATAAACACTACCGACGCTCATTGCTAATCCACTTACTGAATGCGGCAAGGGCATGCATTCCGGCCTTATGGAAGCAGGCCCTACAACCATCTGTCGAAATGTGGGCTAGACGAGAGGAGGAGATTAAACTGATGGAAGACCTGACCTCCTCATTAAACGGGAACCAGGCCAGATTCGTTGCTACTGGGAGTACATGGTACCTGTTCAGAGACTCAGCGGATTTCTCTGCTGTGTGCCGGAACTGAAGTTGGGGAAGGAACGGCTCCCGGTCGGGGCCCTTTTACCCTGCCGTGCTACGGCTAGGAGTAATCCAGGCCGGATGGCCTGGAATTGACTGAAACCTGGAATCTCTCCCTGCTTCTTCTTGTGTGTTATAAGTTTCTCACTCTTTTACTACTTTGTGTCATGTTGTTTTGTACGTTTATGTGTACTCCTCCGGAGTGGACCGGATTAGTACTGGCCTTCCACAATAGTGGGCTGAGCCATGCGGTCCGCCAAATGGCGAGGCTCCCTTCCTGTTTTAGAAATACAAAATACCTTAAGGGATGGGCTGAAGAGAGCCCGATCTAACCTGCATCGTCATCATGTATATACACTGTATACTATGTATGCTCTGACACTGTTTGAGATGTTCTGAATTCTTTTGTCATAACTCTTACAATCAGGTTTATTGACGTGGATTGATGTGAAGCCATGTGGCTCATATATTTGGTTTATACTCTCTGTATCCCACCTTTTTTGTTTATAAATAAAGAATTTGAAAAAAAAAATGCATTCAAATACCTCAACTGTTAACCAAAATGTATCCTATTTGTGTATCACTCAGCTTTAGATCCTCGAATCATCGGTGAATTGGTGCTGACACTGTCCTTCCTTCTGGAGGGTGGCTACTTTTCTTCCCCATGTGTGTGGTGTAAAGTAACCATCCCTCCAAGCTCACTTCCGTGATGAACTAGAATCTCAATACAAATGAGTAAACTAAACATGAGATTGTAGTTCAAAACGCAACACAAACCCCGGGAGGCACAAATCCAAGAAGAAATACCTAAGAGAGAGCAGCAACTTGTGAATTATGAAGCACCACTATTAGGAACCTAGTAAGCTGGTCTTGGTCAACTCATCTTCCTTACATCAGTGCTCTGCCTTCAGTCCTTATTTTATGTTTTGCCATAATGTTTTCGCGCACTGGTTTGTAACAGACCCGCAAACTTTTACGTTTATTTGTTAAGGAAAAACCTAAATGGCAAAGGCTTATAGCATCCAATGTGAATTATATGACTCACCGGAATTCAGTATAATGAAATTTGATTAGGTGCTACCGTGCACAGGTGTCCCCACAACACATGCAGGTATCTATACAGGAGGACCAAATACGTGACCACACCAAACAATGCTTATGAACTATAGTTTCTTAGACATACCAAAAATCACATAAACACAAGCAACCCCACCACCACCCGCAAGTAACATATAATAGCCAAACTAAATGCAAACAGCAAAAATCACACACAGAAGATAGCAGGGCTAGTTATAACCTGGGGAGCAGGGCAACAACAGGGGAGCCACAGATCAGGAGACCTCAGGGGAAAGAATCATGAGTCAGGGTTCAAGGAGGGAACAGGATACAGGAAGCAGGCAGCAGGAACAGGATACAGGAAGCAGGCAGCAGGAACAGGATACAGGCTATGGCGACAATACTGAGGCACAGGCCTCACAGCAGGGAGAGGGTAAATACCCTCCCAGATCAGCATCAGGTGGTGACTAATTGCTGAGACACCCGCAGGTGAGCACTGGAACTGCAGGACCTGGTTCCGGCGTCACAGGGCCACCTGGAGGTGTCCTGGTCCCTGACAAGTTTACTGGACATTGCACATTCACATTGCTCAACATCAGTTGATAAAATAAGAAGTTAGATTTTTTTTACGTTAAAAGGGAGAAAAAACAGTTAGTGGTATACCAAACAAACAGTTGCAGGCCATGGTTAAAGTCAGAAAATGAAAGCAAGTGTGTTATACATTATCCTTGTTTTTTACCAGAAATTACCTGAAATAACTTGGCAGTTCCCCCGTTGAACATCAGGGTGGGAAGATGCACCAGGCTCCTCTACTTGTCGCTTGTGTCTTATTATATGTTTTCTTCCAGAGAAAGATAAACTTGGATCTGTTGAAGTGTTGGCTGGTTCAATCATCACTTGATCCCCACCTATCTGAATATATCCAGTCTGCAGAAAAAAACATAATCAAATTGATATATAGGTGCATACTACCGTAGACTAGGACCATTCTATTCAGAAAAACTGCACTGAATGCATATTTTGGTTGGCGCGAGGTTTAGCATCTCTTAGCAACCAATCAGAAATCATATTCAATTAAATATTTAGACAGTGCCTTATTGCAGTGTGTAACCTAAAGTAATATTCCATATTTTTATATGCTTGCTCTTCTGTATTTTTGGTATTATATTAAATACATAGAGATCTTTATAGAGATTAGTCATTAGAGGAAGCAATCTCTTTCTCTGTCTATCTACAGTGGGGAAAGGGGAAAGGTTAGAATCACTGACAACACTGGATTAGGAAGTTAGGAGGAAACATCTAATATAGACTAAAAACATAAAATATGTTTTATTATATATATATATATATTAGGGATGCACCGATACAAGCATCGGTATCGGCGGCAACTGTACTGATGACAGGGTTGGAACAGTATGGGAGAAGTAATCTCCCCAAAGGGCACAGAAACTGACATTAACCTGCCCTTCCCCACCCTATCTTACACTAAATAAAAAATATTTTGCAGGAGTTCTGCTTTGAGATGTAAAATCTATAAATTGCTGTCTACGAGGTATAAATTGTATGGTTCTCTCTCTCTGAAGTGAAATTATTTTTTTTTTAATTCAGCACAATAGATACATTGTTACTTAGTGCGCTTTTTTGTTCTAAGTGACATTAAAAGGATAAAAAATGTTTCCCTCCCCCCAATGTTAGTGTCAGCACTTAAATTATGTTTCTTAATCCGATACTCTTCTTCTTTCCTGTCGTTTTCAGCCTTCTCTCCAGCGCTGCTGTGGGTCTCCGATCCAGCGCTGACTCCTCTGCCCTTGCTGGCACTTCCTGTCCCACGGTGTCTACATGCGGGTGCACGCTGTCCATAGACTTACCTTGTGTCTCTCCTCGTCTCCCGGCCGAAAATCTGAACTGCACATGCGCCCGCCCCAAGATCCTTTGCGGCCACTCGGGATTTTTCAGATTTTCGGCAGGAGCGCACGGGGAAGACACAGGTAAGTTTAAAACTCTTTTAAAGTGTTTTTTTTTTTTTAAGTTTTTGCATATACCTACTACTTGCTAGCAGTAGATATATGCAAACACACCAGGGGGTTTAATAACCCTTTAAATTGCACCATTTCATTTATTTTTACATGTTTTAGACTGCAGTCGTTCCCTCCTATTTGCGGGTGTCTTCTTTGCCTATCAGGTTGCAAAGGAGACACCCATGCATGTCTGCTACTGGCCAGGAACTGAGCCAAGCTGTCCACTGACACACATAGTGCTCGACAAGCCATGTCTCTGCTCCTGCCTTCTCCCTACGCACAGCAATTTGACAGGCAGCTGTAGCAGCCTAATCACCGCCCTGTCCTCTGTGCCCTTTAGGATCCCTCCTCTACAACCCATATGCTCAGGGAAGCAGCACAGATGTCTTAGAGCCGCGGCAGTGGACATGGACCAAAGGTAAGTGTTTAGAGGTGGGGAGCATGCAAGGAAACTGAAGTGTTATTTATCTTAATCCAGAGAATGCATTAAGGTAAAAAACACATAGCCTTTAGTACTAATTTAAAATGTATAGTTGAAGCCCTTCTGTGGTCCACCACTCCATCATTAAACTTTATTTCCTTTGCTAATGAAACACTATAGGCGCAATTAACAAGGCTTTGGTGTAAGGATAAGTGTCGTGAACTGGGGTACAGAGATGAGGGAGGTCTGCCGGGCATCCTTGGAAATCAGTCAGCAGATTATCACGAGACCACAAAGTTCCACAATTTGGACACAGGTTACAACTGTAAACAACACCTACACATTAATATCCCACTGCTGCCACCAAACGTCAAGGAATCACGCCTACGACAACTTGCTAACCATGTAGGGGGGTGTGTTGGGGGGTGGCCGAGTGATTCCCACACACTCCCGACATTCCCCAAACAACCCTGCAAGCTAGAATCCTTATTGGATCAGTTTATCCTCTGACCACACAAACACAGATCAGACAGACGATTCAGGATAGCTTGCCACCACCTGTAGTTTGCCAGGTGACTTGTCTGCTAAACTTTAACGTTTGGTCAGTGTAGTTTGTCCTAATGGTGGTGAGTACATCAAGGAAATCCTGTAACTCTGCCTTTCAAATGCATTCTCAGACTACTCTATCCATTTTTAGAGAAAAGAAGAACGGGGACAGACTTATTTTCTATGGCCACATGGACGTTTAACCTCACATGATGTGAGGAGAGTTCTTGCCTCAAATTGGTCACAGAATGCGTAGACCAGCCAGTTCTGATGGTTGGGTCGGAGATAGAATTTCCAATGCCAGTGCATCATCTAGAACGAGTTCAATTGCCACATGACTGCTCCAAGCGGGGCCCATACAACCATTTAGTCAGTCCCTAGCTTGTTCTTTAAGGCAAAGACATATAATTTTGCATTCACATGAAGAGCATATCAAATAGGAGTTTGGGGCCTCCAATATGGGTTGATGGCATGATTGCACCCTTTCCTATGCTGAATGGTAAAATTATATACTGCTGGAGCAAAGGCTCCAGAAAACAATTTTTACATTGTCCTCCAACAAATTTGTGTAACCAGCTAAGGGGGTTGTGCTCAACGATTACCAAGAACCCATAGAAATCATGCAGTTTTTGTAGGGCTCATATAATTGGCAAGCACTCATTCTCTATGGTGGCATAGGCTACCTACCTTGGCAGCAGCTTCTGGCTGAGGTACAGGACAGGATGCTCCTTCCCAAATGGGAAGACTAGGGACATTCTTAACTTCCTCTCGTTAACATACAATGCTTCTAGATCTTTAACCCTTAGTTAGGACAAACAGCGTTCAAATTTAATTTGCAATAATTAACCCTGGCTGTACAGTGCTGGGAAATCTCATTATCAATTGTACTCTCACCAGCTCCCTTGCATTCCAGGGGAGAATTCAGTTTAGAGAAAACTAGCAAAATGAGAAAACAAAAGTAACATGTAAAAGGATTAATTATGTGAATAAGAACACGTAACAAATACAAAATACAGTACTGTGCAAAAGTTTTAGGCGGGTGTGAAAAAAATCTGTAAAGAATGCTTTCAGAAATAAAATTAAAAAAAGAAGTGTCAAAAGTTTATTTATCAATTAACAAAATGGAAAGTAAATGCACACGAGAGAAATAAAAATCATTATTAAGTGTGACCACCTTTTGCCTTCTTCTAGGTACACTTGTACGCAGTTTTTGAAGGAACTCGGCGGGTAGGTTCTTCCAAACATTTTGGAGAACTAACCACAGATCGTTCTGTCTGTTCAATCCCAGACAGACTCAATGTTGAGATCAGGGCTCTGTGGGGGCCAAACCATCACTTCCAAGACTCCTTGTTCTTCCTTACACCGAAGATGGTTCTTAATGACATTGGCTGTATGTTTGGGGTGGTTGTCCTGCTGCAGAATAAATTTGGGGCCAATCACAGGCCTCCCTGATATGGCATGATGGGTAAGTATCTACTTGTATTTCTCAGCATTGAGAACACCATTGATCCTGACCAAATCTCCAACTTCATTGGCAGAACTGCAGCCCCAGACTTGAAAGGAACCTCCACCATGCTTTACTGTTGGCTGCACACACTCATTATTTTACCGCTCTCCAGCGCTTCGGCGAACAAACTGCCCTCTGCTACAACCAAATATTTAAAATGTTGACTCATCTGTGCAGAGCACCTGCTGCCATGTTTCTGCAGCCCAGCTCCTATGTTTTCATGCATAATTCAGTCGCATAGCATTCTTTCCATGTCAGTGGTATGGCTTCTTGGCTGCAATTCTTCCATGAAGACGTCTTCTGGCCAGACTTCTCCGGACAGTAGACGGGTGTACCTGGGTCCCACTGGTTTCCCCCAGTTCGGTGCTAATAGCACCGCTGGACATCTTCCAATGTCAAAGGAAAGTAAGCATGATATGTCTTTCATCTGCTGCATTACGTTTCCTAGGCCGACAACTGCGTCTACAGTCCTCAGTATTGCTTGTTTCTTTGTGCTTCTTCAAAAGAGCTTGCACAGCACATCTTGAAACCCCAATCTGCTTTTAAATCTTTGCCTGGGAGAGACCTTGATGATGCAGTATAACTACCTTGTGTCTTGTTGCTGTGCTCAGTCTTGCCATGGTGTATGTCCTGTGACATGAAACTGTCTTCCACAACCTCACCTTAGTAGCACAGTTTGGCTGTTCCACACCAAGTTTTAAGCTGTTTCCCTTTCAGTTAATGACTGTGTTTCAACCCACCTATGAAATTGATGATCATTAGCCCCTGCTTGGTATAATTGGTTAATCAAAACAACTAACTCTAATCTTACATCCTTTCTACAAGTGTAAGAATTGATGCTGGTTTGAAGCTAAAGGGTAGTCAAAGCAAATATTGATTTGATTTAGATTTTTCTTCTGTTCACTCACTTTGCATTTTGTAAATAAGTGTCACGCACCCCCTAATTCTCTGGGTTTTGGATCTCAGCTGCGGCAGGACAATAACGCACTTAGCCTGCGTCAAAGAGGAGGAGAAACGGTTACTCAGGCTTAAACACCTGGCGTCACTCTGACTGGACGGAGAGTTAGGGGTTTCAGCATCATCTGCCGTATACCTCACTTAATGCTGGTTAAGGGTGGCCTATTACTTCATAGGCCCAAACAATAAATACTAATGATAACTGAGCTTTTCGTATTGCGGTAAATCTCAGTACCTCTTGGAGCGATAGTACCCGCTAAAAAAAGGCAAGCATGCAATTACTGGTTAGCAGAAAGTCACTTAGAATAGCAGTACAGCATGGACGTGCTAATCCCTTGGTAGGGTACTTGCGTTTAGGTGACCAGATCCGGATATGGAGGAATGCTGGCAGTGACGATTTAGATCCGGACGGGTTGATCTCCCACTGTGGAAGGTGTCCTAAGATGGGGGAGTCCTGGCTGTGGAGAGGAGGTCCCAG